AATGAATATGATGAAAGAGTACAATGAAGCTCGTGAGTGGGTTGCCAATGAACTAACTTTTGAAAAACCTGTGTCTGTAAATCTTTTTGAGACAACTATACGTGTCTTAGGAGGCCTGCTAAGCATATTTCATCTAACTAAAGATAAAATGTACCTTGAAAAAGCAGTAGGTTTATTAAATGACTAAATTAAAAATGTTTGAAGAAATTTCAAAAATTGTCAAATTTAATGTTTTTTTTTAGGCTGATTTAGGTGATCGGTTGATGGGTGCATTTACATCACTTTCTAAAATTCCATATTCAGATGTAACTCTTGGAACAAAGAGAGGAAGGCCACCAGCATGGGGTTCAGATAGTTCTCTTTCTGAAGTATCAACAATTCAATTAGAGTTTAATGACCTTTCATACTCTTTGCAAAATCCCTCTTACAGAGTATATTTTTTGATTCTACTAAATTATTTGTGTCACTTGTTTAATGTGACTTTTGCAATTTCTTTGCTGTTGTAGTGTTTTTATTTTGTTGTGGACTGTGTATTCTTTTTTCAGATTGTCAAGCTTCATTTGCTTCTTTTTGAGCTAAAATTAGTTAATTATTTACAAAAGAAGGAATAAAATGCTTTTGAGTTTTATGTTGTTTTTTCGCTACTGTAGTCTGCTGCTTACAATGTCATGCTTCAAATATTCTCATTGCATCGTCCTCATGGTTTATGTCCTATCTTTATAAATGCTGACAGTGGAGAGTTTACACCAGCTTCAACTATAACATTGGGTGCAAGGGGTGATAGTTACTATGAATATCTATTGAAGCAGTGGATACAAACTGGAAAAACTGATGATAAGTAAATAAGTGTTTTTATTTGTAATATGTTTTTGTGTATATGTGTTTGCTATATTGTATTGATATTTTGTAGAATGAAATCAGAATACATAAAAGCAATGGAAGGAGTAAAAAAGTTGTTAATTAGAAGATCGTTTCCTAGTAATCTTACCTTTGTAGGAGAGTTGTTATCAGGACGGAGTTTCAGTGCTAAGATGGTATTTTTTTTTTTTTTTAATTAACACTATTAACTTTTGCTAGATTGTTAAACATGGTTCATAGTATTCCACAGTTGTAGCATTTTTCGCACCTCATAAATATAACAATAAACCAACCAAAGAGCTTACATTAGTATTTACATCACTACATTACATTACATTAGTAGCTTTACATCATTACATTAGTTCACTAATGTAGTGATGCAGAAAGAATTTTTAACTTAAAACTATTAATTTAGGTGCTTTAAAATTAAATTAAATATTAGATTTGAATTATTGAGACACTCCTAATTTTAAAAATATATTGTTTTTATTCCTTTATTTTCTCAGGTTTATCCTTTATTTGTTTAATCATTTTTAATTTGTTTCGTTAAATGGCTTTTAAGAAGTATATATATTTTCGAAAACAGAGCGTTAAGAAGAATGTTTAAGAAGTATATATATTTTCAAAAATAGAGCATTAAAAAATCCCTTTACCAAATGAACAACCATTGCTTGTCTAACAGCATTGTTTAACAAGCCAAAAGAAAATAAACCTTAATACAAAAATAAAGTATTCATCAGAATAAGCAAAACCTCTTTTAAATTACATTATGTGAACCATATAAAATCCTATAACACAAAAAAGTGAGAGAATGACACAGCGTTAAAGTATTGTACTATACATTAGCTTTTAAATACATTAAACAACAAAAGAAAAAACTGTTTAAAAATACTAGTTTGAAAATAAATTAAAAAATACCAAAGAATGTCTTCTGACAAATAAAAGACGACATAATTAAAACTTTTCTACAAGAAGTGATGTTCAAATAGTACTACCCATTCTAGGCTAGCATTTGGCTTGCAACTAGATAAGTTGCGGCAAGTACTGTCAGCAAAGGAACCACTCATGCATACATTATCGCAAACAATGAACGTATTTAATAAAACTAGGCACTCAAAAAAATTAAAACTCTAACAAATAATAAAAAATATTTAACATTTTAATTTAATATTTATGAAAATTTTTTTTTTGTTAATTGCGAATTTATTAAATATAACTTGTTATATTGTTACTGCCAATTTATTAACAAAGTTGAATTGGTTCTCTTTCGAACATTTTGATTTTTCTTTTGAATGGAGTTATTTCTCTTTTAAGAAAAAGTTTCAAGAAATCATTTTGTATCTTGATGATATGTTTTTGAGTGCTTAAAAATTTGCTATTTTTCAATGTATTTATGTATGTGTTGGAATAGGTGTGTAATTTATGATGTCAAGAACTAATTACTCTTTTACATATACCAGCGTTCTTTTTTTTTCTTTTTTTTTTTTTTCCATTACTTGTATATATGTTTTATTTTTTTTTATTTTTTTTTTCCATTACTTGTATATTTGTTTTATATCTTAACAATTCTTTTATTTAAACTATTTTATTGTAAAACAGTTTACCGAAACATATTTAAAAAAAGTAAAGAAAATAAATGAGTAAACAGATTTGCATTTTTTTTTAAATATTATTTGTGTAAAATTAAAAGTAGTAGAATAGCCTGTACAATTGTAAGAAAAGTTAGTCAACGTTTTTTTGGTTTTGAATATTTTAAGTTTTTTCTAGGATATAACTACTACATAGCTCACTATATAGCTACAATATGGCCCTCAACATTTTTTTAAAAAGAATAATTCATAGGTATTACATAGCCCATGGGCTACCTGCCTACTACATGTAGTAGCAAATATTATACAGCATGCTACTACATTATTAGCTACTGCACAGCAGCTACATAGCCTGTGGCCTGCAACTTAGTTACAACATGGACATGTAGCTAAGTTGCAACTTAGTTACAACATAGACAAGTCTATAAGAACACACTATTTTAAGTTTAAAAAAACTGCATAAGGTACATACAAGAAGGCTGTATAAAGTACATACAAGAAAACTGTATAAGGTACATACAAGAATTTTATTAGGACTAAAGTTTACAAGAATATTTTCTTATATTATTTGTCAAAGTCAAGTCACAAAGGTGCTTTTACTTTACATTTTTTAACTTCTTTTTTTTTATCTTTTGTGATGAGTTTCTTTTTTTGGTTACTTTAGTTTATAGTTTTATTTACTTCAGGCAAACATTTCATTCTTTTCTTCTGACAAACAAATTTCATTTCTGATAGGAATATCAGTCAAGATCCTTGTTTTTAGTTGCCTAGTTTTGTTTTTTTAGTTCCCTTGTTTTTAGTTGCCTAGTTTATGTTAGCTCTTAACAATTCTTTTTCTAGCAGATGCTTTTGGGTAATATTTTAAATCTTCACGTAAGAATAATGAGACAATGCTTGATGACACTTTGTTTAAAAACTTGTTTCATTATGGGCTAAAGGCATTTTAGGCTCTGTGCCATCAACAAGTGCAGAGCTATTTCAGCCTCCATGCCATCAATAGTGCAGGAATCATTTCAGGTTCCTCAAGAATTGTGTTTAAGCAGCACAATCTGTAACTGATGATGATAAATATTCATTATCTTCAAAAATTTCTGGATTGAATGGCTCAATACCAGCTACTTAAATTCCTCATTGTATATTAGATGGTGAGAAAGTTTTTGAATATGGTTTATGAACTATTGAAACAATATCATAAATAGTCAAAGGTCTTGGATTTGTGACCATCCAGTTGCCACATGCATTGTAGAACCTTTTCAGCAGTCCGAAAACAGTTCTATCTAATGGTTGCAATTTATAGGTGCAGTAGAGAGGAAAACTAATATTGTATTTCCTTGTTGAATTGCAAGATTCAACAAATTGCAAGATTCAAACCTCCAACAAAAATATGACTTTTATGGCTGTTCAGAAGTAATAAAATTGGAGACTCATGAGAACAGTTCTCATGAGAACAGAGAACAGTTCTCATGAGAACAGTATAAAAATGTCTGAATTTATACAAGGATTTGCAAATCCTTCTGGTTAGATGAATTCAGATGTGTTAGAGGAAGGTCCTCCTGGATAGAGGTAATCATGAAATTTTACTATAAAAAAAACAAATAGTGGAGGAATAGTTTCCAATTGTATTTGAAGCACAACATACATTTACCAATGTTACTTGTTTGCAGATGTGATTCTTTCAACTTGTTTACTTCCTTTACTCTTGAGTCCATAATACATGGGAGGGGGGGGGGGGGTGATTTTAGTCCAGATCTAATAAATGAGGAGGAGGAGGTGGGGGTTAATAAATGAGGGGAGGAGGAATTTTCGTAATGTTAAAATATAACTATTTTTTATAAGCAAATTTAGTTAATAAATCCAAAGTAATATTTTTTACAGAACACGCATAAAACTATTTAATTCTAGAGTGGTTTGCGGTCAAGTGCACATTTTCTTACAGCTGTTTTACCATAATTTCAATAGAATTTAATATGCTGATATAATTTTTTTATACTTTAGTAAGAAATAAACCAAATGCTAATTTTTGACATATCGAGATTTACTAGGTCAGCGATTTTTAAAACCTGTTTACACTGAATTGTTTTGTTTTGTGACTGAAAGAGTTATTTTCTAATTTTTTAAGCTGATTTTCACTGATTTTTTTTTAGTTTTCAGTTATAAAGTTTTGTTGATAACAAGTAAAAATTAATAAAGGGGGGGGGGGGTCTTAATAAGCTTAGTGTGGGAAAATTTTCCAAAAATTAATAAACATCCCTCCCCCTTTTATTAAGGGCTCGAATGTACCTGCACTTTTATTGGCTTTTGTATTGTTTTCTTACTGTTTTGAGGTTTTGAAGTTTTTAGCGGCTAACTGAGAATTTTATCAGAAATTCATTTTACTTTTACAATAATGTTAGAGTGTTCAAGTTTCATTTTACTTTTATATTCCTGCAATCATGATAAAGTGACTAGAGCCCCTTTAAACATCACTCAAGCTAGGGCTGTTCAGTATGCTAATTTGATTTCAGAACATAACTAATTGAAGTTTTTCCCATTCAACTATCATATTGTGGTTCAAAAATATTTTTTACTAAATTTTATTATTTGCCCTGAAGGTCCCTCAAAGCCCCTAAACATTTGACAGGTACCTAATATTATTGAAAAAAAAATTATTTAAAAGTATGTCAACTTGGTACTCAAAAGAGGCAAAATCATTTAAAAATTTCAAAAATAAAAAGTATTTTTTATAAAAATAACAATATTAGGTTTTTAAACGAAAAATGAAAAAAAGGTAATATTCACAACATTTTTAATAATAAGTTTTTTTAAGATGTTTTTTTATAAAAAATGAATCTAATTTTTAAAATTTTTGTAAAATTTTTGCTTCTTTTGAGTACCAAGTTGACATATTTTTAAATAATTTTTTTTTAATAATATTAGGGACCTGTCAAATATTTTGTGGCTTTGAGGGACCTTTAGGGCAAATAATAAAATTTAGTAAAAAATATTTTTGAACCACAATATGATAGTTGAATGGGAAAAACTTCAATTAGCTATGTCCTGAAAACAAATTAGCATACTGAACAGCCCTACACTCAAGCTATAGAAACATCATTAGTCAACAGGAACTTTATTAAATATTACTTCCTTGACTTAGGTTGTGATGTGACTACTAATTTCTTGAAATTATTTTGATAATATTTTTAAATAAGTTTATTTTCTAGATTTTTTATTTTTCATCTTTAAATATATAGAATTTTGATAAATTTTACATAACCATTTTTGCTTTTTGAATTTAATTTTGTTTTAAATGAATTTTGATTATTACAAATTTTACAAATAAATTGCTTCTCTGTCTCATTGTCAAATGATTTTCATATAAAAGTTTGTCAAATAAATGTCATATAAAATTTTCAAAGCTATGATATAGTTTTAAATAACCCAAAGATATTAAATAATTCAAAAAAAATTAATAAATTTATTTAAGATTTTACTTAAATTTAAAAATAAATTGTTAAATTTTTCATTAGGATCATTTGGTTTGTTTTCTTCCTGGAACATTAGCACTTGGTTATTATCATGGTTTACCTTATGAGCATATGGAGCTTGCAAAAGAACTTATTGAAACTTGTTATCAAATGTATGCCCGTATGGCAACAGGTCTCAGTCCTGAAATAGCTCACTTTCAAATGGCATCAACCTCAAGTGATAAGTCTGCTGATATTATAGTAAAGGTAAATTTATGATATTCATGGTAGTGATAGAAAATGCCTAATTCTTTACTAGAATCAGATATTTTATTATTTCCTGGTATCTGAATCATTGTATAACTAATTAGATATAGATATTGTTCGATTTTAAAAAAATTCTTGAATTTAAGATTTTTTTGAAGAATTTATATATGAAACGTAAATATGAAATTGAACCAGGATCCCTAACAGTTGTTATGTAAAACGAAATTCGTAAAGAATATTTTGAAATTATTTATTTTTTTATTAGTCTGATGGTGGAACTGTCCATTAGTTTTGAAATTAAACAAATAGAAATATTACAAATATAAAAAAAAAAAACTAGTGTTGAATGATCTTCATATAAAAAAAGCAATTAAAATATATTTAAACCATTTTACTAAACATTGCTGTGTCTAAAATGTGAAAGTTTTCAGTTATATCCTGAATTATATTATTTATCTAAAAATTTATTATATTCATCAAATTTGGCACGAGTACTAATATGAGGTCTAGGCTTTTTTTGAAGTTACTTTTTTTTCTATTTGGTTGCTATGGATACCTTATTTTGCATAGCAATAAGTTATTTTAGGGAGTTGCAGGTTTTTTATTTATGCTATTTACACTATACTTGTTATTCGTATTTATATGAAGTCAATAATACTTATGAAAGTAGTATTTTTTTATTTGGTTGCTATGGATACCTAATTTTGCATAGAAACAACCTTTTTATGCTAGTTGTAGTGTTTATTTGTACTGTGTACAGTATATTTGGTACTTATTTCCTATTGTTTCTATATTACTTATTTTTTATTGATTGCCGCACTTGAAAAAAATGGTTTTGTCCACTAGCTGGGCCATTGTGCATGTATCCATCTCTTACATTATTCAAATTTTCAAAAAAACCTAGCTAAAAATCAAAATATGAAAACTATTATTTTTGTCTTGTTATTTTGTAATAACATAAACTATAAGTCCTATTGCATTTTATTCTTTAAAAAACAATTTCATAAATTTTAAAGTTACCTATACCATCGCAGTTAAACATCTGCTATTGAAAACATACTTTTTTGTGGTTTTACAAACAATAAAAGTATTTGACCAAATAATTTAATCGAAAGTTTTTCAAAAAAATATTTATTATTGCTGATATGTTTATAAAAATTAGCCAATGCTTTTAAAGTAATTATATTAATTTTTAGTATAGTAACTCTTATATAAGTTCATGTATAAAATATTTATGAAATGTACAGTCTAGTTTTATTTAAGAAAATGAAAAAATGTGAATTACACCATTATATAAGAGAAAACAATTTAAGTATTTTATCTAAAGATATCAATAATATTTTAAGTACATATTTTGGTGGTAATAGTTTAAGATTGGATCAATTTATTGTGTTGTATAAAAGAAAATGGAATAGATGCAAAAGAAATAAATTTTTTTAAAAAAGAAATTTAGCTCCTGGTTAGATAAAGACTTATATGTAAAAACTAAAAAGTTAAAAAATGGCGGAAGACCAAAAATTAATTTCAATAAAGCATCAATTAAAGCAAAACAAAGAAGAATAAGCAGTTCGGTGTAAGAAAATACACCAGAAAAATTATTATTTGCTGCAAATAAAATGTAAAATATAGGATATTTACCAGGTGCAAAAACATTTTCAGCTGATGAAGCGTTTGCTTTAATTTTAGATTGTGGGCTGAGTAAAAATGCATATTAATTTATAAGATCTGCAGCAGCAGTTAAAGGCCACAATAACTTGTATCCAGCATATAAAAATGTTAAAGAATCTAAAAAACAATGCTATCCAGGTATGGAAACTTGGGATATTAACAGTTATTCAGCATCAGTTGAAATGAAGAGTCTCTTAAATCATACTGCATTAAGATTGGTCTATTTACAAAGTAATGCTATTTCACAAAGTTGTGTATCAAGATTAACTTTAAGATCAAAAGTTGGTTTTGAAGATGCAACAGGTCAGGCAATATACAAACAATTTGCGCCAGATCAAGATGTAAGTAATCTTAGTATTTAAGGAAGCCTGTTTATTACCTGCTTTGTTCCATTTTTTTTGTAGACCAATAAGATTTAGATATGTAAAAGAAACAAGGAAGTCATCAAAGCAGAGGAACAGTTCATTGAAAGTCAAAAACTTGAGTTAACAGTTTTATCAAATGGTTCAGCGGTGCAACGTATATTAGAATTAACCATGATAGATGGAAAGGTTGCTAATGTACTATCTGAAAAAACAAATTTAGCTTAATGTTGCCCAGTGTGTGGAATAACTCCATCCAAGATGAATAACATTGATGCATGTCAAAAAAAAAGTTACAATTTACAAACAGAACATAAGTATGGCTTGTCAATATTACATGCCTGGATAAAGTGCATGGAATGCTTTTTACATGTTGCCTACAAATTTGTAATAAAGAAATGGTGAGTATATAGAGCTGTTGAAAAACAGTCTGTAAAAGAAAAGAAGAATGAATTTCAACGCAAATTAATTGAAGAACTTTGTTTGGCTGTTGACATGCATAAAGCTAATGGCTCTGACACTAGTAATGATGGCAACACTGCACGTCGTTTCTTTAGAGATTCTGAAAAAGTACCTAATATAATTGGTTTACCAAAAGCTCTTCTTTGACAACTTATTTGTGATCCTATGTACATTATCCTGTGGTCTAGATGTAAATGCTGATAAATTCCGAGAGTATTGTTTACAAGTTGCTCGCACGTATGTAAATTTAGTACCATGGTATTGCATGCCAGCAAGTATTCATAAAATTCTTTTTCATGGTCATTCAGTTGTAAGAAGAATGTCTTTTCCAATAGGCATGTTATCAGAAGAAGCTTAAGAAGCAACAAACAAACTTTAAAAAAAAAATCGTGAACATTTTGGTCGTAAAATGTTTTATCTTTGCTATAAATGTAATATATATCAATGTTTTATTTTTGCTATAAATGCAATATATTGATAATGTTTACACACTAGCATAGAAACAGGGGGCAAAGGGAATAATCGCCCTTCCCCAACCAACCCAAAGCTCCCATTTTTCATTTTAATTCTAATTCTGGCTGGTTTAGTCCCCCTTATTTTTTTTTAGCCCACCTAACTTTCTTGACCTTCCTAAGCCACTGGTTTACGATACTTTTAATTTATAAATGAAGTTTATTGTAATATATTAAATTCACAGTTTTATTTAACATTTGCACAAATACGGAGTATTTTATGAACGTTGTATAAAACTGAATATGACAACAAAAAGCTTGTTGCTATAAAAAATGAGGTATCCATAGCAATCAATAATAAAAAAATATCCCTTGAAGCAGAGACCTTATATTTTTACTAATTCCAAATTTAGTTAATATAACAATATCGGTTAAATTCTATATTAGTTTTTCTTCAAAAATATCTGTTTTGGTCTGCTGTGCATTGCACACACACACACACACACACACACACACACACACACACACACACACACACACACACACACACACGCACACGCACCTCTTTCTCTCTCTCTAAACTTTTTTCCTTAATTTTTAACTTTTTTATAAAATATAATATAAATTTTTGTAAATATAATATAAAATATTCAAAAAAAAATAACCCTCCCCCCTCCCCTGACATAAAAACCCGTGCCACGATTACAGATTTTGCTAATATATAGATTTGTAAGTTATATATAATCTAGAAAATAGATATTGTAGTTGCAATAGCGTACCGTTTTGGTGACGTCAAATTGTTTGTTTGTCCGAATATTAATCCCACAACCACTAGCATTTTTAAGAAATTCTTTTGTTTCTGTGCAATAATTGTCCGATTATCAATCCCAAAATGCCTTATGTTTCTGAAAAAAGTTCTATTTTTAGGCCCATAACGGTACGCTATTGCAAACAGTCGCAAAATATTACATACATTTATTCGTCATAGATATACACATTATGTAAGTTACATGGTTAAATGTCAATCGCCGTCATTTAAAAGTTCTAGAACATTTTCAATTAATTTTCCATGAATAGTTGAGTAAAATAAGTATGCAATATAAATTACCTTGCCAACTTTAATAAATGTATCATTTAATTAATATTTGCATCAAACTTTAAATTATTAATGTACTAATGAAGATTTACAAGAATTATTTAAATTAAATGTTATAAAAGTAAAATGGATCAATTTTAAAAACACATAAAAATTACAATTTTTAACATAAAACAACAACGATACAATTAATGCGCTTCTAAACCTAAACTGGTGTTAAAAAAAAAAATACATTAGTTAGTTAGAGACTTTGCGACAATATACTAGAAAAAATTCTTATATTTTCACATTTTGAAAAACAGTTTTGTCCACTATCTGGCCCACTGTACATTGTTTATTATTAAGTTATAAATTGAAATGTAAAATTAGTATTAGGTAATTTTTCTATCTTTACTTATCTACAATTTGTTGTTTTGCAGCCATTGGATGCACATAATCTTCTTCGCCCGGAGACTGTTGAATCTTTACATATTATGTACCAAATAACGAAGGAAAATAAATATAGAGAATACGGTTGGAATATATTTCAAGCTTTTAATAAGTATTGTAAAGTTCCTACTGGTGGTTACGTTAGCATTAATGATGTTAGAAACGCTCAAAATCCTCGTCGTGGTGAGGGTAGAGATAAAATGGAGAGTTTTTTTTTAGGAGAGACGCTCAAGTACTTATATCTACTTTTTAGTGACGATGATATTATACCTTTAGATAAGTTTGTTTTTAATACAGAGGCCCATCCTCTACCTGTGTTTAATGGTTAGTATTTTGTCTGAATCTGTTCTGGTTTGTAATCAGAAAAAAAATGTTGCTATTTTTTTTTTTACACAAGTTTTAACTCCCTATTTTTTCTCAATGATATTTTTTAAATCAGGTTTGATACTAAATAGTATTGTTTATTTACTGGAAAGAAAAACGTTCCCATGTGTATAAAATGTGAATTTATTTAATTTTTATTTGCTTTATTTGTTATTATTGAATTATTAAAAGAATTTGTTAAAATTTATTTAATATCTGCAAGCTATATCAATAATAGCTGAACACATTTTTCTAAATGTTTTGGTTTTTTCTAAAAAATTTAGCTTCGAAATTTTTATTTGTAATATTGTCTTTTAAAAATTGATTTTAAGTAAAGATATCGATTAGCAATCATGTGAAATTGGTAGTATATTATAAGATATTTCTCTATTTTTAATATTTATCACTTTGAAACATAAAATAGTTTTTTTTTTGGTTTAAATAATTTATTTGAATATTTACTTAAGCCGCAATATATTTTCCAAATAAAGAAATACGATTGGTTAATAAATTTTGATATATCTGTTGGCATTTTTTATTTATTTGTACATTTTATGGTTAAACAATTAGATAAAATAGTACGTAGCTGTATTATATGTTTTTAAACCCTAATTTAGTACTATAAGAAATGACATAAAAAAAAAATTATTTTAGATAAAATGAATTTTTCAAAAAAATTTAATAATTACTACATTTTTTTGAAAAAGTAATCGAATTTACTGATGTGGATCAACCAATCATCCGTAGGCGTAAAGTTTTATTGAGTTTACCTAGGATGGGATACTAACTATTTGATGGAAATTAAAAAATATATAAAAAATAAATCTTTTCAATGAGCATAAACGCACTTAATTTTTATTTTTTTTTAATTTGCATTCACTCCCAACAAGGCTGCAAGCAACCACTATTAAGTTGGGAGTTACTAGGAAAAGAAAGGACAGAGTTATAGAGCAAGGAAACGGTTGACAGAAGACTTGAAAAGTTGAAGGTTGTATGAGTTAGGAAAACATGAAGATGGGAGAGAGTTCCAAAGGATTGATGTGCGGGGAAAAAAACTAGATGAATAAAAGTTTTTAGAGCATGCAAAGACAGATACAGTAAACGAATGAGACTTAGCTGAATGACGAGTAAAACGAGAATGAATTTTAGTTGATGGAACTAGAGATGATAATTCCTTTGAGCATTGACCATGATAGTATTTGTAGAAAAGAGAAAAAGATGCAACTTTACGACGATGGGAAAGAGGTTCAAGCTTAGCAGATAGTCCAGGTCCAACAACATTTACAATGCGTTTTTGGACCTTGTCAAGAAGAGAAAGTGAATCGTTAGAAGAACCAGCCCAAATATGACAACAGTATTCCATACAGGGACGAATAAGAGATTTGTAGAGGTAGAGAATGGAATCAGAAGTAAGGAAATGGCGAGCACGATAAAGAGAAGCAACCTTAGCAGAAGCTAATTTAGCAATCGATTGTATATATGGTTTCCATGAAAGGTCAGTAGTAAGCAATAATCCAAGAAGACGTAAAGAGGAGGACTCAGTAAGAGGATTGCCATTCATTAATATAGGAATGTTGACCATATTACGGTAGTTGTTTGCAGTAAGCAACTGGGTTTTGTTAGAGTTGAAATTCACAAGCCACTGGGAACCCCAATCTATTACTGAAGTGAGATCGGATTCAAGATCAGCTGCTTGTTCTAGACGATCGAAAAGAGAAGACTTTTTGTCACGACAGGAGTATAAAGTTGAGTCATCAGCAAAAAGAGCTACTTTAGATGAAAGGTTGTCAGGAAGATCGTTTATGTAGATAAGAAACAAAACAGGGCCCAGGATGGAACCTTGGGGAACCCCAGAAGTTACTGGAAATAAAGAAGAGTGTTGGCCTTCAAGGATGACTTTAATAAATCGGTTAGAAAGAAATGATTTGATAATCTCAAAAACTTTCCCAGAAATACCATATGAAGCAAGCTTATAGAGAAGACCAGTACGCCAAACTTTGTCAAAAGCTTTAGATATGTCGAGAGCAATAGCCCTAGCCTCACCGCCTCCATCTAATGCACGATAAAATCTTTCAGTTACAGCTGTTAGCAAGTCGGCCGTAGAGCGAGAGGATCGAAAACCGTATTGATTGTCTGACAGTAGTTTATTTGACTCAAGATGAGATGTGAGGAATTTGTTGATCAAAGACTCAAAGACCTTGCTAATAACAGAAAGAAGACTGATCGGGCGATAATTGGAGGGGTCAGAATTTTCTCCAGAGTATTTGAATATTGGAACCATAGATGCCATTTTCCAACAAGCAGGAATACAAGATTCAGTCAAACACTTGTTAAATAGTTTAGGGAGAATTGAAGAAAGTTCTGGAGAACAATTCTGCAAGACTGTGACAGGAATGTTGTCTGGACCACAAGCTGTAGACGAGTTTAATTGAGATATGACTTTAGCAACAGAAGCCGGAGTGATTTCAATGTCTAACAATGGTTCAACCTGTTTGACTGGAATGGAAGGAAGAGAATGTCCATAAGATTCAAGGGTGGAATTAGAAGAAAAGTTCTTTGCAAATAGTTCTGCCTTATCCTTGGGAGAGGTAATAAGATCAGTCCCATGAATGAGAGATGGAATGTTAGATCTACCCTTGTTAATAATGCTGTTGAAGATTTTCCAAAAGACTTTAGAGCCTAACTTCTGCGATAAGATGCGAGATTTAGTGAACTGAGAATAATGGAGTTTAGCATCAGAAAGCACCTTTTTACATCGATTTTTGCAATAATAAATAGCCGTTTGTTCTCAAGAGAGTTGTTCTTTTGAAAAAGATGAAAAAAATGATTACGATTAGATATAGCAGCCGCACAAGAAGGAGAAAACCATGGAGTAGAATGAGGCTTGACTTGAAACCGACGCGAAGGAATAAAAGCTTCCATTCCAGCCTGAATCCAGGAGGTTACGTAGGAGGCGCATTTGTCAGCTGAGAGAGAAAAAACATCAGCCCAAGGACCATCACGAAGAAAATCACGAAAGGAATCCCAGTCAGCTTTAGGGTAGTAGTAGGTGGTGCGATGATAAGGTGAGCCCAAAAAAGAAGTACGAGAAGAAAGATTTATAGAGATCATTGCATGGTCAGAACCACCTAAAGGAGAAAAGGGAGAAACTGAACATAAGCTAGGGTCAGAGACAAGACATAAGTCAAGGAGTGAAGGTAAATGATTAGGGTTGTCAGGAAAACGAGTCACAAAGTTTACTATCTGAGTAAGAGATTGAGAAACGCAGAAGTTAAAGGCTTTAGTGCCAGCAGGATCAGTGGTGTTAGAGCCAAGCCATTCAGTGTGATGGGCATTAAAATCACCAACAACAACAATATTGGCAGAGGGGTAAAGAGAGAGGGCATGGTCAATTTGATCAGAGATAACATCTAAGAGAGTGTATTCATGGGAAGAAGGAGAATGATAAAGAACAAAGAGAAAGGTGATAGAGTGAAGAGGTGCTAGGCGAAAGCACATAAAAGAATGGTCAAAGGATTCGAACCTGATTTCACGACAAATAGGGGAATTAATGCGTATGTATACCCCTAAACCTAGCATGTGACTATTTGAGTCTTTACGAATCAAAGGATAGTACCCATCAACACTGACATCTGAAGAAGGAATTGCAGAACTTAAATTTGTTTCACTAAGTGCAAGCAAGTCTGGTGAATTTTGCAGGAGGTAAGACTCAACTGATGGAAAGTTGCTTCGTAGACCGCGAATATTTGTAAAAGATATATTAAAATATTTAGGTGGGGGGGGGGGGATGGTTATTTAGGTTTTAAATTTTTGGTTACTTTGGCCATGATTGGGTTTAATGAGAACTTGACTCATTCATAGATAGAGCACAGCCTCCTAATCAATGAGCTATGCAGTTGTCTCAGTCCTGTTAATTAACCCTAAGCCGTGACATAGGGCTCCTTATGTGGCCTTGACAATGCACACCAAAAGCATTAACAGGGACACCATCCATGCGCAACATGGCACTGTTAATACTCTGATATTTTGCAGCTGTTGATGGAATCAGCCTCTCTGAGAGCTACCACAGAGTTCGGGAAACCTTACTACCAGCCGGCCTCAGAACCATTAAACTGAGTTTTAGAGCTGTATCCTCATATGGAGATAACAGGAAGAGTTGCATAGCCATTATCAAGGAGGCATAAGCAAAATTCTATGAGTAGAGTCAAGGAGATCTAGCATTCATCATCCTAGGCAGGAAACAATGTTACATCTACGCCAGCCTAATAGATGAAGAAGGGGTTCGAGGCTGGTTAGCAGAATTTTTTTGGTTACCCCTAAAGTCTTTGCCTAGGAGGCCTTCTACAAGACAGTAGCAGGATGCAGTTAACATCTGCCCAAGATGAGTGTTTTTATTAAGACATCATCTCTAGCCTTTACTCAACCAAGAGCCCCAAGGCAGGGGATGTTTAGCTGGATGCAGTTAACATCTGCCCAAGATGAGTGTTTTTATTGAGACACCATCTCTAGCCTTTACTCAACCAAGAGCCCCAAGGCAGGGGAATTTTTAGTTGGAGTTTATTTCTTTTAGCCTTTGTCTAAGAAGAGCACACTCTGCAAGGCAGCAGGGTTTGTGGCAGGTGGTACTGGGTTACGTGATACCAGTAGCAGGATTGATCTCGATTATCCTGACCTGACCTGGAGTAGTTAAAAGGAGTTACTTCCAGCAACAGTACTTTGAGAAAACCAGGCATGATATTTTGGAAGTGCATTAGGAAAAACACTGCACCTAATAAAATACAGGAGTCTAAGGTGAGTGTAGGTTTTGTAGTTGGAGTAAGTAGTTAGTTACTGAGCTCACGCTGCATTAGAGTATAAACAGAACACAAACAAACATAAACATAAATCAACTTACGGGTGAGTCAACACCGCGCCAGAGGTTCAGACAGAACACAAACATACATAGAAAACATAAAGTAACTTACGGGTGAGCGAACACCGCGCCAGAGGTTCAGACAGAACACAAACATACATAAAAAAACATAAAAAACAAAAACATAAACATAAAGTAACTTACGGGTGAGCGAACACCGCGCCAGAGGTTCAGACAGAACACAGACATACATAAAGAACATAAAGTAACTTACGGGTGAGCGAACACCGCGCCAGAGGTTCAGACAGAACACAAACATACATATAACGTAGATTACAGGTGATAATACAGTAATTAAGGCACCTCCAACTATATGAAAAAAAAAAAAAAAAAAATTCCTATAGGCATGACTGATATAAGATAGTACTGATGACAGGAAGAACACTCCTTCTAGCCTTTGCTTAGAAAGCAAATCCTGCAAGGCAGCAGAACATGGAACAGGTTGCACTGGGTTACATGTTACCAGTAGCAGGATGATTATGAAGATCATACTCCTGACCTGACAATAATAATAATTTATTTTCCCAAGTAAAAAGTGTTCAGACTTTCAGACACGTGGAAGCGCGCATTACGAACTCGTCAATCAAAGAATCAAAATCAAGAGTAGGGCGATGATTCGATGGCACGTCAAAAAAGCGAGATGGTTCAATCACTTTTGAAACATCGTAG